TGTGTTCTGAGTGTTACAATTTCGATGTCCTTACACATTGTAGTCTCGGTTCATTATTAATGGAAATAGGAATTTGTTTGCACCCTGTTGAGTAACCAGCACATTTTCTATTACCATTAATAACCGAGAGAACATGTGTAGGCACCGAAATTTGGGTACCCGGAGTATTTTGTACCTTTAAAAATTTAAAATTCCCGCTTCTAACTAGCCGATAATCTAGATGCCTGTTTTTACCGTCAAAGCTTCCCGTTACTGACGGTCAGCCGGTTGTAGCGCAACGTTACTTTCTCTATGGTCTCTAGCACCACAGTGCCAACCATAGAGAAAGTAAAATAAGAGAGGTGGCGGAATAATGTTCAAACTTGGAACCGCGTTGCGCCACAACCGGCTGACCGTAATATTTTCATTGATATTTCTTCTAACGTGAATAAATTTAATAGTTGTTTCAAAGATCCCACATATTGTAAATATGGGAGGAAAGTCAATTGAATTTATCAACCTGGAAAATGCTGCAAAGGAAGTTGGCTTATGATAAGACGGGACTGGATAGGACAGAACGTGACATCGGACCAGTACAATTTTGAAATGCTTCATTCAACAATCAACAATCCTCAAACTGTTCAGCAACTGAAAGCCAATATCCGTGCAGTAATGTACGGATGTGCCCAAAAGTCATTCAAAATTACCTCAAAAGGATTCAGGCCTGTAGGAGGTCCGGTGGAGGACATTTAAATGATATTGCTTTTCACGTCTAATGGCAAGGTTTACTCTTTATATTGAATTAAAATTTACGTCTTTATCTGAATATTTTGTGTGTTTTTTTTACTTTACTTTCCCAAGCATAAAATGAATAACCCTGTGCAAGATTACAAGATACAAGGACTATTATTTCAGACATGTCTCCAGATTTTGCCTCATATCTCATGAACATATTGAGCTATCGCGCTCATTTCCCCACTACTGGGTAAATAATTAAATACGTAATTTAAGATGTGAAACATTACTACAGAAATATGGGCAGCTGTCACGCAAAAGGCGAGTATCTTAAGTTTTACGGGGTCAAAATTGGTAGATTGGCTCAAACATGACGCCGCTTTTTTGGGCATACTTATGGAACAAATTGAGCTTGTGGGCTCATTTCTACAACACTGGGTAGAAAGGTAATTAACGCACTGACAGCACAAAAGCCCCCACTTTGAAGACAAATATTTCATTGAAAAATGTGTGAAATTTAATTTGCTTTATCTGCATGAAGCTCTACTCGACGCGTCACTTATTAGCAAAACAATCAATCAGAATCCTCAATCGTTCGGGTTGTTCGTGAATTATTTGAACTCTATACTTTGAAGGCAAGTTTCAAGGCATCAATGCCCCTGGCGATACGTTTTTGCGTCTCTCCAAAGTGTGATTCCCCATTTGAATCCATTATGTATAGACGGATTGTCGCCAAAGGAAAACTTGTGGAAACTCTCGGGTGTTGGAGCTCGATTTCGAACTGCCTGGTATAAATTGGCAAAGAATGTCGATTTTAGATTTTAATGCCATTCGTGGTGAGGTTGAAATTTTCGGTCGGTTTAACTGAGCTTAAATTGTCCTGGGATGTGCATTTCTCCAACTTGCCATCTGCCAGTCAGGAACTAATTATTCATAAGTCAACAGTTCACTCTAAGACGCTAATTCTGAACAATATCTGGTAAATGGTCTCAAGTTAAACCGCAGCATCTGGGCGAAAATTATGCAAATCTTCGTCTTGGTTTTGGTATTAATTTGCCCTGGGACACAGTAAGGGTGTGCTTGAGTTTCTATTGTAATATCTCAATGAAGCTGATTTATTGCAGTAAACTCAAACAGACAGAACATTTGCTTTTATATTCTAAGGTGTGACTAAGTGCTTGTTAACGTTTTACTCCGGACTGAAGTGCCGCTGGGGGGAACAGCATGTTCATACTGGAAATGTAGAGCAGAAAAACTCGTAGAAATCGTCCATTTGGAGCAAAGAGACTTATATATAGAGACTATATAATATCGTCCAAATATCGAACAAGACTCAACGTCGAAGCTTCAAGTACGTGGTTATATAATATGCACCCCAGGTTTCGCGCTTAGGCATCATCAGGCGCTATATATCTCTATATATATATCTGCAAAACAATAACACTAATTACACACATATTTTTTACAAACTTCTTTTTGGGTATTTCGCCTCAAAAATTTTTGTCTTTAAAAAAGGCAGAATTTTCTCACGTCTTTTATTACAGATTGATAAATAGTGCTCCTATTTTGCAATAAGAACGAATTATTTATCAAAAAGTAATCAAGAACTATCACCTAGAGGGCATCCTGCGACACACTTAGGCTCAAGCTGTAAGAGAAAATTAATTTGAAAAATTACCGTGACGTTTCGATAGCTATTTTCTGCTATCGTTATCAAAAGAACATAAATGAACCTAAAAAAGAGTATGTTAATAAATTGTGTAACAATAGTAGGATAAAACAGTATATGAAAATTCGCTCTGATAATTCGTCTGTGCAAATTGTCAGTTATGTGACTTTGACTTAATCTCATTGTTTAAATTAATAAAGGCAATGTTAATTAATAATTTTGGTGTAAATTTAATTTGGATGTATGTTTCTTTGGTCTACTTCAGATTTTAGCATAGGTAACCATGTATGACTTAAATTAAATGAACATGAAGCAAGCAACACAATTATTTTGATTTAGTAAAATTAGCGCGCTTTCTTTAATTTTACGTTTTTTGTGGATTGTTCTTTTGTTAAAATTGTGGAATTATTCCATATATATAATATATATATATTCTTGTTCTTCTTCCTTTCTCTTCTTGTTCGTCCAGAACTGGACATAGGCCTCCTCCCTTAGTTCTTTCCATTTTATTCTATTCTGGGCAATTTTCATCCACGGTAGTCCCGCATGATAGATCTTCCTCTCGCTCTTCTGCCATGGTCTCCATCGCAACACTCTTCCATTCCATCTATTGTCCTTTATACGGGCGATATGTCCCTCGTAGTCTAATGTTCTTCTTTCTATATTTCTTTCCGATGTTCTAAGTTTGTTCAGCATTTGCCTTGTGAAGATCCATGTTTGAGCGCCGTATGTGCTTACTGGCCATACGCATTGGTCGTAAAGTTTTGATTGCAAATACAGAGGTATTTTTTTGTTGGTTATTTCTCCTTCGCTTTGGATATCCTTGTTTTCCTTTCCAAAAATTTTTCCCTGGCTTAAGTATGTATAGTCCTTGAAATTCTCCATATTGGGATTCGCTGGACACATAGTTTTGGCTTCATTTATATTGATTTTAAGGCGTATATTGATCCCTTGATTGTTGGTTTAGATATGTCTTCAGTCAAGTTCAATCTCTCTCCGTCAATGATGACTCTCTCTTCCGACCAGTCTCGTCTTCTTAATCTAACGTCTTGGCAAACGTGTAGTGACAAGTGATGAATGCTATTTCTAGTCCCCATCAGCTCCCTTCAACTGTGTTGACCACCTGTTTGATGGTATCGCCTCATCGCGATCGATTAACTGTTCAACGTACAGCGGTCTCAATGTCAGTGTTCCTCAAAAAACCTCTCAAAAAAAATTAAAAAATTCAAGTTCCTCAAAATACCTCGAGTGATACATCATTTTCATCGGAAAGAGATAAGGAATGCAACGAGCAAATTAAAAGACACCGGGGCCTTTCCAGTTCCCAAATAATCAATATTTTCTGTCTATTTTGAACGGATTTTGAGCGGTCGCAATCTTCAACGGACGATATTTTCCTTATTATCGACCCACAACCTTCATATTCGCTATTGGGCAACTTCTTAGGTCGGATACAATCCAATAAGGGCAAAAAACGCGAGTGCAAAATTTTGATTTTTGGTTGAAAATTTCATAAGGGGGAGTAATCGGTCGATTTTTCCAAAAAATTCAAGTTCCTCAAAATACATCGAGTGATACATCATTTTCATCGGAAAGAAACAAGGAATGCAACGAGCTAATTAAAAGACACCGGGGCCTTTCCAGTTCCCAAATAATCAACATTTTCTGTCTATTTTGAACGCTTTTTGAGCGGTCGTAATCTTCAACGGACGATATCTTCCTTATTTTCGACCCACAACTTTCATGTTCGCTATTAGGCAACTTCTTAGGTCGGAAACAATCCAATAAGGGCAAAAAACGCGATTGCAAAATTTTGATTTTTGGTCGAAAATTTCATAAGGGGGAGTAATCGGTCGATTTTTCCAAAAAATTCAAGTTCCTCAAAATACATCGAGTGATACATCATTTTCATCGGAAAGAGACAAGGAATGCAACGAGCTAATTAAAAGACACCGGGGCCTTTCCAGTTCCCAAATAATCAACATTTTCTGTCTATTTTGAACGGATTTTGAGCGGTCGCAATCTTCAACGGACGATATCTTCCTTATTTTCGACCCACAACTTTCATGTTTGCTATTGGGCAACTTCTTAGCAGTAGGTACTCGAATTGCCAAGGAAGTTGATATCTACTGAACAAAAATCTGAAATAGACATGTTCAAAAGTATTCGTTTGAGTGCTATAAATAACCATTAAGCGGCAAAGTTTGAAAAATAAGTCCCAAGTTTCATATTGGCTCTAGAAAATGTTCCTTAAATATTACTTTTCTGTTTTATTCAGGGGCTTTCCGACTATACGACGTGGACAATGATGGCTTCATCACAAGAGAGGAAATGTACAATATTGTGGATGCGATCTATCAGATGGTGGTAAGTTGTAATTCGACGCTAGTAACTTCCGATCCGATATTGGATAAATAAATAAAATTAATTTTAAAAATCTACACCTTTTAAGACTAATGGCAATGAAGCTTTTAAACCTCTTGAAGCCTATTGAATACTAAAATGTCAACCCCATAGAAGGCAATGCTCAGTTTCACATACAGCAAAACTGCATTACTGGCCATTCAAATATCACTTTACTCTGGGTAATCAATTCAAATGGATGCCAAATAATATATTTCCGGTCTCCGGTGGCGGATCAAGTCGATTTTATCGACAAATCCCAACTTTTTCCATGTGTGATTATTTTAGAACCAAATTGAGCTGTGGTTTCAGGGTCAACAGCCATCTGAAGATGAGAACACGCCGCAGAAACGAGTGGATAAAATTTTCGATCAAATGGATAAAAATCACGACGATCGACTTACTCTTGAAGAATTTCGAGAAGGTTCGAAAGCAGATCCGCGTATCGTGCAAGCGTTAACATTAGGATCTGAATAACATAAGGAGGAAGGCATTAAGCCTGATCCAGTATGACGTTCTAACGGGTAAACTTACTAGTTTGTAGTGGATATGTGCTTAAATTGTTCTTAAGTCATAGTAACGTAATGTATTTATTCTAAGCAGCAATTGTGACTTTATCAGTTTCTACGTAAAAAACAGCGCAATTCGACTTCTTCACAGTTCTTTAAAGCTGGGAAAACCGTGGAGTTCTGAGTACGAAACTTGAAATCCCGATTTTTTTAGTTGTACATTTATAATCGATAAATGCTGCTTAGTTTCGTCTGATTACGAAAGTACGTTAATCGGTAAAGCCGTAAAATCTAACTGCAAAATGAAGCAAACTGCTTGAAGAAATCAAGCAGTCTTCTTTAGGTTGCACATAGTGCTATAAGCAATTGTTTTTTATGCTGTTATATAAGCCAGTATATAAATGCCAAAAAATTACTTCGTCTATATTGTGATAACTCCTTGATTTCACCACGTTCATTTCGGTCACAATCTTGTGACGACTATAGTTTTAATCTATTTAGCCACACATAAGCAGACTAAGACTGCGCATAACAGTGGCTTTATTAGACCGTAAGAATTGATGTTCGCAATAAAATGTATATATATAATCGTTACATACAATGACATATTTTTCAAATGTTAACGTTTTAGATTTGTGTTTTTTGCGACAATATTGTTGACAAATATTTTCGTAAACATTAAAAGATGCTCTTTCTTGGTATCGTATAGTCAATATCTAAATATGACTCGCGCCAATTTGCTACTGCAAGCACAAACAAATTGACAATCATTATTTCAATGTTTGTGCTCTATTACTGTGTAACCTTCTACTACTCTGCTGCTTTTTTATGTAATCTATTAAGCACGGCAGAAAGGCGAATTTTCCATTAAGTGTTGTTATGAGAAAATCCAATTTGTAGCTTTGGAGCACTGCCACGGTATAATTTAAATAATTTTTGATATTTTAGTGTTAGCTTATTATACATATAGAGGGTCGCCTTTATGTATCTAAACGGCGAATTTTATAGACCAAGATACCTAGAATAAATCGATTAACGAAAAAATTATCAGTATACATGATCAGTCAAAAAGTCACAGCAGCGCAATATTACCTTTTCTTCTAAAGGAACACACCGTATTTTATTCAATAATGGAATTATTCTCTACGTTCTACACAAAAATCGTTTAAAATTTTTAAGAAATTCTTAAAATTTAACCGTTTTGGAGATATCGAGTTCTCAACATTATGTTTTGATGTAATTCGCTGAATTATTTAATCAAAATAAATATAAAAACATGGTTCATCAAGTTATCTTGACAAGTTTAGGTCACCAGAACAACGCCGAGTCGTTCTTGTGTTCTAAACAGTTAATTTCTAATTGATACGAATGCCAAAATAACGAAATCCCTGTCAGACCTGAGCCATGAAGACCAATTGAGAAAACTCAACACGACAATTAAGAACATCAAAGACGACTTGTTACAACCTGCTAAAATAAAAAAGAAAGCCTGGATGAACGACGAGATTCTGCAGTTGATAGAGGAACAAAGAAAAATGAAAAACGCTGATAGCGCATACAACAGCATAAACAAATCATTAAAATAAAGGTTCGTCAAGCCAAGGAAAGACACATTAAAGAAAAGTGTCCTGAAATAGAAACACTGCAGGCACGGCTGTACAACGCACCTTTAAAGGTTAAAGAGTTAACTGGGACGTCTAAACTTAAACATGTGGCCAAACCAATAATGTTGCTTACTTGAAAGACACATGGAAAACGTCTTTTATGACACAAGACCCTTCTTCTTCTTATTCTTTGTAAAGACCCATTGGTCTGTTTATTTCGTCTGGTCAATGTTGTTGATTCTCTATTCTTCCATCTTTTCGGTGGTCTTCCGATGGGTCTTTTACCAGCTGGAATTCCATTCAACACAATCTTGCCTATTCTTTCTACATGGTCCCGCCAGCATCTTCTGCGCTTTCGTCCCCATCTGATTGCATCCTCCACCTTACAGGTCTGTCTTATTGTTGCGCTCCTCACTCTATACCGTAGTGTTTTTCCCGCTATTTACCTTAGAGTCTTCATCTCTGCCGTTCTTAACATACATTTTCTTTTGTTTGTGTCTGCTCGGGTCTCGATGCCGTAAGTGAGTATTGGTCTTAGGCATGTTTTGTATATTCGAACTTTACTGTCGATGCTCATATGTTTGTTGTTCCATATGACGTCTCTTAAGCAACTGGGATATTGATATTTTCATCTGGGATATTGATATTTGCATATTAAATTGTGTGTCATCATCGCATCAATCATGCACAGACTTGATTGAATCTGTGAAGTTCTCTATACAAATTGTCCTCCGTTTTTGCCAATATTGTCGCGTCATCAGCGTAGCAAATTATGCTAATGGGTTTTCTGTTGATCCTACACCCTATTCTTAAGGCGCCGATCTATTCAATGATCTCGTCCATAATCAGGGTGAAGAGAAACGGGCTTAATTTCTCATTGGTTGTCTTATGATCAACTTTAATTCGGGTCGAATTGTCTGTGTTTAAGGAGTATACTGGTTTTACAATTCTTGCCGGCGTTCGTTTTTTCTTCAAGATGTTGATAATGTCTTCCAGTCGGACACGGTCAAATGCTTTTGTTAAATAGATAAAACATGCAAAAGCGGGGGTGTCGAATTCTATTGCCTTTTCTTTTATTTTGCGTATGAAAAATAGGGCGTCAGTTGTAGACCTATTTCTCCGGAATCCCTGATGTTCGTCTTTAATTTCGAAATGTTGTTCCAGGTTATCTTTAATAAGGCCGGTGAATAATTTCATGGAGGAGCATAGAAGAGTTATACCCCTGTAGTTTTCCGGGTTGGCTTTTTGTCCTTTTTTGAAGATGGGTATGGTGAAGCTCTTGTGCCAATCGTCGGGGATTGTTTGCGAGCTTAATATTCCATTGCAGAGTTGCGCTAGTTTTTTTGTGAGTTCATTACCGCCATACTTCAGAAGTTCGTTGGGTATATTGTTCACACCAGATGCTTTTCTATTTTTAAGCTTTTTTGTTTTGTTTTGTTTTTTACTTCTTCTTCCGTGAATGATATTGGGACCTCCGGACACAAGACCCGAACGTCCTAAAGCAGATGACCATAGAAGTCCGGATATCCTCATTGACGAGGTTATATATATCCTCAGGAMGAGYAGCAACAAAAGCCATRAAASAAGGAAAATCCCCGGGACCCGATAATATAAATATAGAGTTCTTGGAACTTTTKGATGAAGGCAGCATRGGATGGTTAACGAATGTGTTTAAYAKKATATACAGTTCTGGTAAGATTCAGGAGAAAATCAGGAGCTAAAACGTGTGAAGTACAATAAGTCTGATGAGCCATCTACTGAAACTATTCCTAAAAATCATACACAGACGAATCTACAGGAATTGTGAGGAGCAAATAGCACCTATACAGGTTTCAGATATGCAGTGAGAACAGGAGAAGCCATATATGGCATCCAAGTTTTACTTCAGCGATGCACAGACATGATCTGYAGCGTGTTTGCATGTTTTGTTGACTATCAGAAGGCTGTTGACAGAGCAAAACATTTGTAGAAATTCTGCAAAATGTAGGCTTGAATGGAAGGGCGGGCAACCTGAACTGGAATCAATCAACTTTTGTCAGAATCGGAAATGAGACAACAGAAGAAATGAAGATACTGAGGGTGCCAGACTGGAATTCAGGAATATCCCTGAATGGAGAAAGAGTGAACATTATTCGTTATGCAGACGATACGGTTGTTTTGCCGSCAGCATAGATGGGTTASAAAATATCATGAATAGAATAGAGTGCMGTCARCCATATGGCCTGGACATTAATATTAAAAAGACAAAACTATTTGTTTTAAGCAGAAATAACATTAAAAACTGTCAGTTTATAATCAGCGAAAAACCSATAGAACGAGTGAACAGTAGTACTTATCTCGGATCATTGATGAACGASCTATGGGAGTCATTCACAAGCCATCACATAACATTGCACACTAAGGTAAGATTCTTGCGCTATTACGTGTTCTCTGTCTAGTTTTACGGGGTAGAAGCATGGACGCTTACTGGAGCCCCAACGAATAAATTGGAGGCATTCGACTTATGGTTGTATCGTGGAATATTGAAAATACCGTGGACAGACCACATAACAAATATCGAGGTTCTCAACAGAATGGGCAGAGAAAGGGAAGTGGTTAATGCTGTGAAGGAACAAAACCTCCAATATTTGGCACACATAATGAGAAATGAAAACAGATTTCCCTTAGTGCAGGCTATCTTGCAAGGAAAAGTACTAGAAAAACGAAGTGTGGGTAGAAGACGCTCATGGTTAAAAAACCTTAGAACTTGGTTTGGTATGAGTACAACTGAATGGCTCCGAGCTGCAGTGAGCACAGTTAAGATATCATGGATGATAGAACAGATCGGAAACGGATAGGGACTATAAGAAGAAGAATTCATCGACATGTGGGAGCAAATTTCCAATAAAAATCTGCCTGTGATTTACTGAATTTATTCCAAGTTAACTCGCACATGATATATTAAAACTTAAACTATTCTAACTAAATATTTGTGTATCTTGACCCTTGACCCAAAAAAATATTTTATTCGCGTCATAAAATAAAGCTGGCAGTTTCGTCTCCGGTCAAATTTGGGCTGTGTATGTTATTAGTAAGATCTAATAGTGCGTGAAAAATTATTAAAATGGGACTTTTCGCCTTTCTCCGGGAACTCTTCGCATTCTAACGTAGTGGTTTAAGCGTCTGCGTATATATATTTTCGGCGGCTAGAATCATGTAAATCATCACCTCATCAGTTTGGAAATATTTTAGGGAATTGACTAGAAGTTAAAAGTTGTTCTAAAGTTATATTAGTGTTAAATCCAGTTGTACATAAATTTGTACATAGTTATATTTATAACTACAAAATGGTCCTTATTTAGATATTCTACGAAACTTTCTTTAACTAGAATATTTTTAGCTATTACTGCTGACTTGCTTCAAATCTGGCGCCTTGTCCCTAAGTTCTGTATATAATCTTAAGAATTAGGCAGGCTTTCGAAACTCTCTTCTAATATGTATTTCAAACTTTCGTCTAAAAACTTTATGGGCCTAAAAAAGCCTTTTCAAAAATTATTAATAGAGCTTTTCTCAGTTCTTTTTAACCTCTGTGATAAGTAACAATCAGATAACGCAATAAATACGCTGTGTGTCTTATCTTACATTTGCCATAACGCGTTATGCCATGTATTGCGTTTAGTGTTAGTTTAAAATGTAATTGATTGGGTTTTATAGTAAAAATATAAACATTTACATTACATGCTACAGTGAAGATATCAGTCTCTCATTAGTAAAATTAAAATCATTCAATCAAAATTAAATAAATATTAAACATTACAATATAGCAAATTGAATGAATAGAATAAACATAATAGACAAACTCACTGATTGATATCTTTGCTGCGGACGCCCTCAAGATCAATTATCTAGATACGTGACGCTGCTAATTAAATTAAAATATTTTGATCTTATTCACAAAACATTGAAATTATTGTCCAACCACAACCATGTAATACTTAAGGTTATTGTTAGACTCTATAACTTTACTAAGGTTTGGAATTTTCATCTTTGGGGAACATGAAACATGGGGATTATTCAAAAAATTATTGCGCAACAAAAGAACGGTCTTTGTTGCAAAGTGGGTTTTTTGCATTATCCTTTGGCCTCTTATTAGCTAGCTATTTATTTAAAAAGTGTTAAAACCATTTAAAGAAAGTAGAAATTTGTAAAAATGGTAACTTCTTAGGTAGAAACCTTGTTTATTTAGTTAGAACCCATAGATGTAAATTCCGGCCCTAAATATTTTCAAATAGGATAGTGTTGAATATTAAGAGACAGTTACATTTGATAACTAAATCACTTGTACAAAACTATGATCAGTAGAACAAAGTCAAACATTCATTGCGTTCACTTGTACGATCATCAGTACCAAATATATAATATTTTTCTTTTAAAAATAATTTCCTATTTATTGTAATAATGTAGTAAAAAATTTTCAGGAAACAGAAATTGTGTTTTATTGAGAACATTGAAACTACTTTAGAAACAAGGAAGAGGTAAGCACTTTGGAAGTAAGAAAACAGATTATTTGATAGGTTTTAAACTGGTCAAAATGTTGAGATAAAGAAGGCATAAGTAAAAAATGCTTTAAAGCAAGACAAACTCAACTAATAAGACGTCTTTCTTTTACTGAAGTAAAAAAATCTATTTATAGTAAATGAGCAGTTGAATAATTAAATCTCAACCTTTCTGCTTTGATAACCGAAAGGGTTCTTTAAATGAGCTTCAGATGAGCTTGATGTAAAAATACATAGCAGCCCAAAATATTCCCAAAGTTTTAAAATATCTTGTAAAGGAATCAATGGTTTAGTTGGATCCAAATGCACACTGCCAGTAAGCTGATGCTCTTGTATGGAACACTTGAACTCAAATTAAAAGCTTCAGATGCGCCTTTCAGATAAAAAAAAGAGCGTAGAAAGAGAAATAAGAAGAATCCATTAAACTTCAGTTTTTTGTCGGAAAACTATACTCAGTTCAAGCTGAAAGAGTTATTTATATGTATTTTATAGATCATTCTTATTATCTTTTTAAAATGTGGCTTCCCATCCTCCATTTTCTACCCATTAATTCTCAAAAAGTTTATTACACAAAATGAAAATCCACTTCACATAGAAAACTGTAATCATACAGTTAGCAGGTAGGAATAGGACTACAATTTAATATAATCTCTATATATATAAAATTATCGTGTCACAGTTTTAGTTACCATACTCCTCCGAAACTGCTTGACCAATTTTGATGAAATTTTACAAGTATGTTCAGTAGGTCTGAGAATAGGTTGTTATCTATTTTTTATACCCCTAAGTGATATGGGTGCTGCCCATAAACCCCTATCTTTTAATAGCGATATTAGTAATTCAATAAATTTCAACACGAGCGATAGATGGCGACACCGATTAGTTCCCTCCCTTGGTGTTATGCTGAAGCTTGGGCTGAGGGCTTGGTTTGGAAACTCCAAAACATCCACAAACTACCCCTAACCTTTGTTCAGTTTGTGGCAAACTTTCTCCACGAGAGAAAGTTTTTCATAACTCTGAACGAAACAAAATTCTCCATCCGATCCATAAAAGCAGGTGTCCCACAGGGCTTTTCCCAACTTTCCCCAACTCTTTACAACCTATACACAGCTGATGTTCCAAAAAGCCCCCATTCCAAAGTTGCTCTTTTCTCTCTATTATATTAATAAAAACATCTACTACATAATCCCACCCTTACATCGACACTTAAACGCTTTTCAAGCCTGGGCCGTACAAATATATTGATACAGTTTGTGATGAAGTGAATATATTTTACTACCACAAAACCCTATTATCCCCACAGATGTGCCCATTTAATTATCAGGTGTTTACTTTCCAACAAGATTGGCATTTGCGATGACTCTTGAGCGTTTTTCATAAATTGACCCTGCCTTCTTTAGAAAATATCCGCTCAACATATGGTTTAATAATTGTCTCCGATGAAAATCACTAAACAACCCACATAGCAAAATGATATTCCCAGAATATACCTGGAACATTCATGTGATGTACATGCATATTCCTGGGACTTACATGGGTTCCATTATGAACATTCCATGTATGTCCCAGGAATCTGTCAGAGTTAATACACTGAATGTTCATGGTATGTTC